TAAGCAGGGAGAGGAAGCAAAGGAAAGAGGGAGGAGCGAGAGAGGGTAGGGAAGCAGGGAGAGGGGGGGAAGGGAAGAGGGAGGAGCGAAAGAGGGATTAGCCGGGAGAGGGAGCAAAGGGAAGAGGGAGGAGCGAGAGAGGGTAGGGAAGCAGGGAGAGGGGGGAAGGGAAGAGGGAGGAGCGAGAGAGGGATAAGCAGGGAGAGGAAGCAAAGGAAAGAGGGAGGAGCGAGAGAGGGTAGGGAAGCAGGGAGAGGGGGGAAGGGAAGAGGGAGGAGCGAGAGAGGAATTAGCAGGGAGAGGGAGCAAAGGAAAGAGGGAGGAGTGAGAGAGGGTAGGGAAGCAGGGAGAGGAAGCAAAGGAAAGAGGGAGGAGCGAGAGAGGGATTAGCAGGGAGAGGGAGCAAAGGGAAGAGGGAGGAGTGAGAGAGGGTAGGGAAGCAGGGAGAGGGGGGGGAAGGGAAGAGGGAGGAGCGAGAGAGGGTAGGGAAGCAGGGAGGTAAGAAAGGTAGAAAAAAGACATAGCAATAGAAAGCATGAGAGGTGTAAAAGGAGAATAACAGTAGGCGTCAGTATTTATGAATGTACATTGACATCCCCATGACAACAAGTGGCATTCGGGTGTCTACGCCCCCCCCCACCAATTTTGGTATTTTTAAGGATCTATACCGATTTTTTAGCATCTATAAATCAATCTGCTCCACGCTCCGTCTGCAGTTTGCAACTCACCGCCAAAGAAAAAAAAAGAAAAGAAGAATGCTCTGACCCCGACAAGTCGGGCAAAGTTTGACGCGCGAAATTTTAAAAGCCAGAACCAAACACAATACACAATACAGTGCATCTCCCACACTTGCGTAGAAATAGCCGTTGCTGCTGCTGCTGCTGCAGCTGCCTACACGCACGCACGGTCTTCACTTGACGGGCGATACGGATAATAATTGCACCCGCAATTTATTACTATACACGGCTATGCGATTCCTGGTTTGTCCTTGAGGAAGATGAATGGTGTTCGTGATCGCCGACCTGCTAGGCTCATTGATCCTCGGAGATATAGGCTAGCCAGCTAATGACGAACACGCATACATGCTGCCCGCCAGGATATTAAACTGAACTACAGTGAGTATAGTGTAACGTGTGTGCGCTCGTACATACTATAATACATATAGTCTATATTATATACATTACCAGGAGTGAATAATAATAGATTATTATATTAATATTATTATGATTATTATATTATTATATTATTACTATATTATTATATCTATGATTATTCACTCCTGATATTACCATGGACAAATACGAGCCGTCTAGAGAGGAAAGGTAAAGCGAGTAATCAGAGTTGTAAACCCCTCCACACCTCCTCCTCCTGGTAGGTTTGAACAACTGAATGAAAAACATCAACTGTTCGGTGTTTCGCTGTTTCGGTGAATTTGCGATGTTATACATCATTTGCCAATCTATTCACACTGACATTTCCCCCTCCCCCCTCGATTTTATGAACGCTAACAAATTAACACTTTAACATGTCTGTAAAACGATGTAATATAGTAGTGACTGCTGCTATTTTTGAACGTGTCACCTGAAATCGTGCACATGCATCAGTCTATACTTACTGTTCTCCAAAATCAATCATTGGGGGCTCAAAGCGAATCGGACTCGCAAACCCCATATTCTCCTCTGTCCAGTCGAGACTGCAAAAGACAAAAATAAACGTCAGCTACGTGTATAATTTAAATTTTAATATAAATTTTATTATTATTTAACTATTGTTACGCACCATAACAATAAACGCAATTAAAGTCAATTAATATCTGTTTATATCCATATTCCTGGTCCATAAAAACGAGGACTAAAAGTCTAAAATATGTAAAAATATCAAAGTTTGAAAGCCCAGAAAAGGGGGGCCGGCCGCGAAATTTTTTTTCCCAAACGGTATAACATAGCGAAGAATTTAGCGCCTTCTGATTGGCTGCTTCGATTTGCTTTGCCTTTGACAAGAGAACAAACGCCCATTTGTAAATGTTTGTTTGGGTTTATGACCGCTAGATAAGTACGTTTTCTGATGTATTTTCCATGAAAAACGTATCTTTTCCTCATTTATATAACATATAATATTACTATAATTGCAATTCTTTCTGCAAATGTGTTATTTTCATCTCAATCTTAAGTTATGAGAGGGTCT